TAATTAAAACGAAAGTTGACCAATACTGGAGACGCATCGAAAAATCGTTTCAGAGGGTTGAAGTAAACAAACTACCATGCTATTTGAAATTTTTAAGAATACAAAAACAATGATTATATACCACACCAACAACATTAAAAAGCATATGCGACACCCAATATAATATATACATATAAAAATTGTTTACCTAATTTAAGGAGTGATGTAAAGTATTGTGACCAGATATGTGTAGAAATTATAAAAAAATGAATTCAAAGTAAATAAAAAATTCTAGCATAATCCCATTATTTAATTTAAATTTATTTAATTTAAATTTATTTAAATTAAATATTTGTATAGTGTTTTCACAAGAAAAAATATTGCAAAAGAACACCACACTATACAACAATTATACAAGGAACACATAACATTGACATGATAGTAGATGACTTAACATAAGATAAACAAACTAAAATAATTACTCCGCTAAAATAAAAAAATGAACAATGCTCCATTCAAGCAATCATAACTATTGTATATGAAATTTATTCAACAACGACTTTGATGCTTAATCTTCTAATAATTAGTAAAAATTCACAGATAGGATGAAAAACAAAGAATATATATATAACCAAACTACTGAACCTGAATATATATATAAAACAATATCATTTAATAAATATAAAACAGTCAGTGAAAATTTACAGTAATATAATTATATACATCACATAGCCCCATAAAATATAATCCATATAGTATTAATTATTCTAGCATAATTAGATATACATAAATATATTAAAAAACAAATAACAAAATTGTACATCCATAATACTGTTAGGTTAAAACGTATTCTTCCCATATTGTGACGTAAAGAAATGTATATTAATTTATACTCATTATTAATTTAATACATAATACTGTATATACAGAAAAATATAAAAATGAGTAAAAAACCCCTAAATTTTTTTCCTGTGATCTACTCATTGATTCAAATTAATACATAACTATACGAAAACAGTAATAATATATATATATACAAATAACATGGTTTATTTAGTCTCCACGTACAATACCGTGTATGTAAAGTTTCATATGTGAAGAATATATATTAAATCTTATAATATAACTGTTTTAATTATTTAAATTTTACATCCCACCCTAGTTCATTAGAAAAAAAGGAAAACCGTAATTGTCAAACAATACCGTGTATGTAAAGTTTCATATATGAAGAATATATATTAAATCTTATAATATAACTGTTTTAATTATTTAAATTTTACATCCCGCCCTAGTTCATTAGAAAAAAAGGAAAACCGTAATTGTCAAGTTTCCTTTTTCTTTTTTTCCCTCGAGGGTTACTTTCGTCATTTATTATCTCCGTGAAACTCGGTCCGAAGTTGTTTCGTCATCTGAAACACCCTTTTTACCCCTTGCGTATTTCTTACTCTTATCTTCTCTTGTCATTGGGCTTATTTAACTTTTTAAAGCCCAATTTCATTTAGAAAATATTACACTGCAGGTCAGTTTTACACTTTTAATATCAGTATAAGACAGTTGATACTACTCACACACTTTTCCTTTTCCCAATACATTTTTACTTCTCTCATATAGTTGAAATCTAACTAAACTTAAGTTATATAATAAATTTTTATTTCTTTTAATATTACATTTTTTTTTCTTATCTCATCTCTTTTTTTTGTCTCTTTCAATTTTCCATTATTATAAAAAGCAAATACAAACTCGTACGTCACAAGCTTGAAAAAACAGAGATTCATGGTTACAATGCCGAGACAAACCTCTCCTACGCCGCAACACCACCACTGTTGTAATATCTCTACTTCCCTATTTCACCGTCAAAACACTACCACTCCTCCGCTCACATATCTCGTCGCTCCACCTATCATCATCCTCGCCACATATTAGCATCTCTCCGATGAAATATGCGACCACGACATCATCTCCACACCTTATCATACCTCCCATACAATTTCATCACAGATCCATCACGATCTATGCAATCTATTGTCGTTGAGCCAAATCCAAACTCAAATCCGCGACAACTAATTCTCGTCACTGTGTTCCATATCAAAGCTCAGCAACAATGGACAAGTTTTTAATAATTGTATATTTTGGTCCTTCAATTTCTTGTTTCTTTGTAGTTTGGGTCCAAAGTTTTAAATGTGCAAAATTCTCATTAATTTTTATCCCATACTTTTAGATTATGCATTCCAATCCTTTGTAATGCAATTGAACACATATATGCATCTTAAAATAATTTTCTTTGTACACATGTACGCCACAATTTTGATGTACACATGTACACTTACACTTACGGTTGTACACTCTTTTATATCATGTATCCTCATGTACATTGATTTGCATAATTTTTATATAGACTTAAAATATTATGATATAGATATGCAAAGCTTAACGACAATATTATATAATATGTAAATTGGACATTTGAGCATGGACCAAATATAAACTGGCATTGTCCATGACGTTATGGCCATGGATTTTAATCTATGCTTTTATTGTTTGAAGATCGTGCAATCATTACCTAATTTCTTATAGTTGTACACATGTACGGTATCATTTTCGTTGTACACATGTACGCCACAATCTTGATGTACACACACGGTTGTACACACCTTTACATCGTGTATCCAAATACATCGATGTGCATAATTTTTTATGGACTTAAAATATTATAATAGAGATATATAAAACTTAACTAATATAAAATATAATATGTATATTGGGCATTTGAGCATTGACTAACTATAAAGAGACATTGTCCATGATGATATGTCCATGGAAGTTTATCTATGTCTTTATTGTTGTAAGATCGTGTCATTATTAACCCATAAATTCTTAAGTGTATATGTTTTATCTTACCAACAAAAAACTTTCTATGTCATACCATGTACAAGTTATCCCTCGAGGATAGTAAAACATATGTGTCATGTAAATGTCCTTTGATAGTATGTATGTCAAACATACAAACACCTTTAGATATGTTTAATAGATTGCTAATCATGTGTGCATGAGGATAGCTTCACCATAATGGATCAGTTCGCTCCTAGTTCGTTCCTGACGCGAGTTGAGACGACGAAGCTCAGAGAAGACATGATATACACACTCTGTGATGTACATATTCTTATATTTGTACAAATGTACGGTATCATTTTTTTGTACACATGTACGCCACAATCTTGATGTACACATGTACACTTACTGTTGTACACACCTTTACATTGTGTATCCAAATACACCGATGTGCATAATTTTTGCATGGACTTAAAATATTATGATAGAGATATATAAAACTTAACTAATATAAATTATAATATGTATATTGGACATTTGAGCATTGACTAACTATAAAGAGATATTGTCTAAGATAATATGTCCATGGAAGTTTATCTATGTCTTTATTGTTGAAAGATCCTGACATTATTAGCCCATAAATTCTTAAGTGTATATGTTTTATCTTACCTACAAAAAAAATTCTAATGTCATACCATGTACAAGATATCCCTCGAGGATAGTAAAACATATGTGTCATGTAAATGTCCTTTGACAGTATGTATGTGAAACATACAAACACCTTTAGATGTGTTTAATAGATTGCTAATCATGTGTGCATGAGGATAGCTTCACCATAATGGATCAGTTCGCTCCTAATTTGTTCTTGACGCGAGTTGAGACGATGAAGCACAGAGAAGACATGATATACATACTCCGTGATGTACATATTCTTATATTTGTACAAATGTACACACTCCGTGATATACATATGTTCGCGTGTACACATGTGTGCTTAGAATGTCTACATTACATCTTTGATAATATCCATACATTTTGTCTACAAATGTAGGGTTAACAGTTTGTTGTAGGTTTAATTGGTTTGGATCCGTTTATAATATTTACGATTTACGTTTAGGGTTGATTACGAGAGTGTAGTGAGTTGTGAATATGAGTTTCATATGTAAAGGTGTTGGGTGTACATTTGATTATAGCATGGAGGGTGTACATATGAATATTCTCTACTATTGACATGTGACCAACTAAAACCCAATGAAAATTATTTTAACACTAATTTCATGTATATCTATTCAATAATATACACTTGTACACAAGTAATAATGTACACATGTACAAATATACTAGTGTACATATTATGATCATTTTTTTTCTTTAGTTAATGGTAAAAACGTAATTAAGTCATCTTCTACTTTTTAGGGTTTCTGCACAATTTCACAGCCGCCAACCATAGTTTCTTCTAAACTCACTGAACTTTTGTGTATTTTTATGTTGTTTTGCTATTCAATGTGAAGATATACCTTTTAATAACTGATTTCTAACATTTAAACTTCTATAAAAAAATATCTTAATAAATCAAGTTTTTTGGTCTGATATGCCAAAATCACCACAACCGCTCACTTTCAAGCCTTTCAACAAGTATTCAACTTCATCGTCACTGTTGCAACTGTGCTCATGTCAAGACTGAAGCTCCTCCGACGACGACGAAAAACGGCCGCCAATTCATACGAAAATAAAGTACACTATGTGGGGTTTGAGGTCGTTTCCTGCAACTCAGCTTCTTCATCTCCATCGTGTTTGCACTATTTCAATTTCACTTTGGGAACCTTTTCATTCTGAAATTTGAGCTTTTCTTGTTTTTGTCTGTAATTATAATTGTTTCTCTGATACAAAAAGAGGAATGAAAGTGACCAATTTAAAAATTAATGTGATTAATGTATTTAGAAAACAGAACAAGAATGAATTTAGTTAACAGTTAGCTAACTAACCCAACTAAAAAGAATCGCCCAATTACTTCAATACCCTCTATTGATTCACTTTTTGAAGGACAAACAAGTATTTAACTCCTAGAAAGTACTTTAGTAGCACTAAGTGCTCTTACATGTAATAAAAACTCAGAAAGTGACCTGCAGTGAAAATAACTCTTTCATTTACGAGTCTTATCCACTACGCGTTAAAAGTCATCGACGGTCTATGGAGACGCCACGTGTGCTATGGTGGAAACTTACGCACAATCCTTTCCGATCATCTTCTCCAACTTTGTCGTCATCGTAACAAACTCCAAATCATAAGCAAACGAACTCTCCAAATCACTGATCAGAGATGCAACAGGGAGATTACAATTCCTATTACCACCACCAGTACTCTAATCCTAATCCCCCCACCGTCGCTGATCCGATAGATCTTTCTAGGAACACACACGCGTCAGGTCCACCGTTTACCGACGGTTACGGAACCGCCGGTTACTCTAATTATTCCCAGAATTACGTGCAAACCGCTGATCATCATGCTCCTCCTTCAGCTCCCGCGGCACAAACATCTCCTCCGGCTACATCTTTAAACCCTAATTCCTTTTCCACCTTCAACCAACCGCCAACGATTCATCCACCAGCGTCATCTTATGGATCATTCGATTCCACAGCCCCGTATCAGCAATCTACTACGCAACCAATGTATTATCCACCGCACGATCAGCATCAGAGCTCTGGATACTCCCCTGCGCCTCCTCCTCCTCCTCCTTCATCTGCTGCCGCGCAAAATCCTTCAATTTACTCATTCTCCTTGTACTCTGCACCTCCTTACACTGGCGGAGAGTCTTCCCTTCCTCCTTCCTATGAGAGACCGCCTGTAAGATTCGATCATCCTGCTTATGGAGATTACGACCGGAGCAGATCGGATATAGGATCAGACGTATACGGTAAAAGATCCGAGATCGGAGGATATCAAGATAACTATGGCGATGGCGTGTATGCTTATCAAGGAGGTAAAGTGGAGCCTTACGGGTCTCGTGGCACAGAGCCCAAGTCATCTAATTCCACTTTGTTTGATGATTATGGAAGATCTATTAGCCTCTATTCAGCTAGAGACTCCTCTCCTAGCTCGAATTCCGCCAAGATTGTAAGAGCTGTTCCCAAGACTGATGATGTGAAGGAAGATAGCACCGGTGGTGTCCAGAAGTTCCGTGTTAAATTGTTGGCTGAGACTTACGGACAGACCACAACTGATGTTCTTTGTCAGGTAATGTGTACCAGTGAGCTTTTGTGTGTTACTTAGAACCTTTTTTTTTTAGTTAATCGGCTGTCTGAATTGTGCTAGCAGATTGGATTGGATGGTCTTCGTATGCTTGATCCAAGTACTAGTCGGACTTTGAGAATATATCCTCTTGAGAACATCACAAGATGCGAGGTAAGATATTAGCTAGGCTTTTTTTTCTCCCCCGAGGCTATTTGGTATTGTTGCTATTTGCATGAATGAGAGTCTTATATCTGTTTTTTTTTTCTATCCAGAAACTAGATTCTTCTATTTTGGCTTTTTGGTCTAAGACTCCGGTAGATATCGATGCTAAACGCATCAGACTGCAATCAAATAGTTATACCACCAACACACTTCTGGACATAGTGACTGCTGCAATGTTTCAGGTTCTTAAACCATCATGTTTTATATCATTTAGGCTTAAGTTTTCAATTCAATCATGATTTTTGTTCATTAATCCAATAATTTTGTGATGGTGTGTTTTAGGCTAAGGAGATTGGGGGAAGTAGCAGACCTCCTGCCTCTGTAAAAATGGTGGAACAAACTGTTGAGAAGAAGAAAGGGTTGGGTGATTGGATGAACATTATAAAGCCTGTAAATGAGGAGAAAGATCATTGGGTACGATTCTTTCGTTTATTTGGAATACAAAATTAACTCTTTTCACTTGTTGTCAAACCGCTTCCCTTTGTTTGCCTGAGGTTTTGATGGGGAAAAACATCACTAGCTCTTTTCTTTCGTGCTCAACTATGGTATTGTTATTTCTCACTCCCTTTAAATTTGGCTTCAGGTTCCAGACGAAGCTGCTTCGAAGTGCACGTCATGTCGGTCAGATTTCAGTGCATTTATGCGAAGGGTATTGTTCTTTCTCCCTGATCTTCTAATCTAGAATTAAGTTGTCGACCATGCTGGGACTGACAAACCTTATAAACTATTATTATTTCAGCACCACTGCCGGAACTGTGGTGATGTCTTCTGTGACAAGTGCACGCAGGGTAGGATTGCCCTCACTGCAGAGGAGAATGCTCCTCAAGTCCGTGTCTGCGACCGATGCATGGTAGGATCTGCTCATTTTTCCTTACGTTGATAAATAATGTTCCATGGATTTCTGAGATTCGTTGATCCAGCCCTAACATTCTGTTCTAGTTAAATGTATTTCTGTGCTGGTAACTTGTTATGTCGGAGTAGGCCTCTTAAAATGTGTTGCTGCTTATATGATTCTGATTCTTGATGTGCAGGCCGAAGTGTCACAAAGGTTGATTAATGCCAAGGAATCTGTTAGCAGGAACGTGAGTGTACAGAGCCATGAAGACCTCGCTAGGAAGTTACAGGTGATCATATCTCCCAAGATTATCTACTAACCTTAACGATTAGGCATTTGTTGAGGAAGCACAAATTATACAATTGTTTTCTTATTGCGAATATGTTTGGTACAGGAGGAAATGCAGAAAAACCGAAAGTCTTCATCTGGTAATTATTTATGCTTAATATAACTCATGATTTTTATTTGTTGTTTCTGGTCTTTTTGTGATTACTGAGAAATGATAAAATATGGTTTCAACAGGTTCGAGGGAAGGATCTGGTCGGCGGATGAAGGACGTAGCTTGTCCAACATGCACAGTGCACTTGCAGGTTAGATTTTTTGATAATCCATCTTCCTTTGTCTGATTTTCTTGTCCTATATTTCCTAGAACAAGGAAAACAGGGCGGTCCTTATAGGTGTAATCGCGTTTCTTGGTGTTATAATCACATTGCAAATACATTTACGATAGAAAAACTAGAGAAATGCACGCATCTATGAGATCTCTTCATTTGACATAATAGTACGACTTACCTCCTACTCCTAGGATCCTTTGTTTATTTTATAAATGGAGTATAGAACTGTTACCCATGCGAGCTCAAGTATCAAATAGCTAGGTATTGTAGGCTAAATGGTTCATGGAGACAATTAGTTAAGCAAGTGGATGTAAGACTCAAGCCAGATTGGAAATTTGAAGTTTGCTATTTGTAGTGTCTCATGTTAACAAGTATGTGGTTATGAGACCATTTCCATCTAAATTGCAGGTTCAGGTTCCAATCTCAGGATCAGAGACCATCGAGTGCGGTGTTTGCCAAAATCCTTTCCTTGTTAGCTCGCATTGATCTTCCTACCCGCTTTTTTCTTGTCTTGACATATATTATGAATCAAAGTATGGGATTTGGGTCATTTGTTACTGAATTGGGTTTGATCACATCACACCAGAATAAGTTGTTGGACGCTGTCTCATGTGGGTGTTACTTCTCCCTTTTTGTGTACATGGAAGTCTCTGTCTCGTTGAGGACTGATTGTTTGATTTACGCATCAAACCTTAAGTGTCTCTGATCATTTTACATCCTCTGAGAAATATTATAATTTATATAGATGATTTCGTTGTTCATGTCAAGCTAGTAAATAAAAGAGAGAATTATTTCCCTTTTCTATGGTTGTATAGTATAACATTTATTCTGCTGCCATTATATAATGAAGTGCCACATAAGAGTCCAGCAACATCAACAAATAAACTTCAATTTGACCAAAACAAAAAAAATAACCTCCAACACACGGTTTCATCCGAGTATATGATAGGTTGTTAATGGTCTCTTGGATTTGATATGTTTGCTAAAAAAAGGATTTGATATCTGACGTTTCCGGTAGTTTTGACCAAAGAAATCCAGTTCTAGTTAAATATAAATCATTAGAAAATGTGATTTATTTAACATGCCAATTGGTAATTTAAACTTGAGTACGTGACTTTCTTAAATTTCAAATATGCACATTTATTCTAAATTACTTAGAAATAAATGACAATATGTCATTGGTAAATATTCTTTCCTTTTAATTTCTCTATATATTTCTTACATATTGCACAAATCTGTATGTTTTGGCAAGTATGTATATTTTTAATAAAAGTAAAATCTTAAGAAAAATTCTAAATCTCACGTCCAAAACATAAAAAAAAAGAGAATAAAATCAAAAGTTAGTAGTTGGATCGAATAATGAAAATGATAAAGCAATAAAAAAAGAAACATTGAAGACTGATACGATTGGCACGAGAACGTTCTCATAACTATAAATAACGTTTAATTTCTAAAATCAAGGTATTAACCTATCAGAATTTATTTTTCTTTCTTTTTCATTTTTAAAAAAAACTAGACATTTCAAAAATAATTGTATAGGTATACGCAAAATAGATAAAATATAAAAATCCCTTTTTAATACTATACATTTTAAATATTTATTATATAAACTAATCAAATGCATGTTTTCTCTCTAGCAATATAATATTTCGTAGACTTTCCTTAAATAAAACCTACTGAATTAGCTAATGTGATTAATATATATATATATGTCAGTTAATGATTTTAAACAATAAAGATTTGACATAATTACATTAATCATTTATAAAATTCTAGAATTTGTTTGTGTATGTTGTATTTCAAATTTTTCAAAACGAGTATAAATTACTAAAACTGTTAAAAATCTCACATAAGCTTTTATGATCAAGGTTTAATTTTTTTCTTTATTAAGATACAATTATTATAAGAGCATATGAAGAAATAATTTTATTTAATAGGTTTTAGGTTAATATATATATATATATATATATATATATATATATATTTCATATCATTTAAATTAAACTATACATCATATGAAAATACATACTAATCTTTTGATATTTGCATTGAACATATATTGAGAAGTTAATATTTTAATTTTCAAAATCTGTCATTGTTTTTTTTAAATGATTATAAATTATTGAAACTACTAAACATCTCACATTAAAAAAATGTTGGTGTAAAATTTTGTCATACAAATATGCAAATAATCACAAAATCATATGAGTAGAAACCTCATTTAATAAATATACATATTAAAAGTGTACTATATATCTATGTTAATATCATTTAAATTTTATTATATATCATATACGATAGATAAGACTTATATTTTTTTTTTATTTTTTTACCCTAATTGCGAATAAACAAGAGTGACCGTTAGATTTATATGCACACGCTAATTTATTACATAATAGTAACTTATTTCTTAGTTATTTAATAAATATATATATACTTATTATTTTATTATTTCATAATATGCATAAAAACATAAAATAAATAATAAATATAGAATACTTATTCTGCAAAAAGTGTAGATCTTAACCTAAGTATGTATCTCCATAATTAAATTAAATCTTAAGCATTATCTAAATCTTAGGCCAAAACAAACAAACAAAATGAGAATAAACTTCAAAATCAATATTTATATCGAGCAATAACCAATATGAAAAAGACACAAAAAGAAAAATAATATTGAAGATAGATAAGATTGACACATGAACGTAAACTTCTCATAACCATAATTAATTTTAAATTGTTAAATCATGATATAAAACCGAGCTGACATATTTTCATTATAACCAAATAGACCCAAAATATTTTGTCCTAAACGTTAGATTCTTTGCGGTAAGTGATATTTTGACATAAGTATTTTTAAAAATGAGATCAGCTCATCAGTAAACAAATTATGTAATTAACAAATGTTAAAAACAAACTTTTAAAGACCAACATATTAATTCAATCAAGAATATAGATTTATTTTTCCATATAATATTTTTAAATAATTTTCTTACATAAATTTATCTTGCGCAAGACAAAGGTCTTATCCCAATACCGAAGTAAAAAGGATATTCATTTGTCGAATTCTTGTGTTTCAAGTAACCATAATCGTAACCATTTTTTTTTGCTTTTATATATTTCCTTTTTTTATCACGAAAATGCAGACAAATATTTGTTTAATAAGTTTACATTGCTGGACTCAGTCCATAAACTTAGGTGTATGTTATAATAACGCTGTATACTGGTGCAAAACCATGACATATACGACCTAATAATGGTAATTGATAAATCCATATTATGAGTAATCTGTTAAAGTGAAATTATGTATAGGTGTATAATTGCATTGCTGACAATTTGAGGTAGGGGTATTTTTAATTTAACGACAAAGCGGTAAATTATAAAGAAATTGGTTAAACAACAAACCAACACGAATTGTATTGTTATGATTTATCTACACGAGGCATGTGATTCGCTTGCTATACACAGACTTGACACTTGACACATTACAAAGGTAAGATTAAGGGTGGGCGTTCGGGTACCCATTCGGGTTCGGTTCAGATCTATGCGGGTGTCGGGTTTTCGGGTTCACAAATTTTAACCCCATTCGAATATTTTTAAATTTCGGTTCGGGTTCGTTTCGGATCTTTGCGGGTTCGGATAACCCATTTAAATTATTTTAATTTTTTTTTAAATTATTTCTATACTTTAAATTCTAAAAATCTATAAACAAAATAATATATTACAAATAATTGAATAACATAAGTCAAAATACTTAAAATACCAAAATTTTGAACCCGTTCGGATATTGAATCAATTTCGGTTCGGGTTCAATACTACTTTTTCGGATCGGGTTCGGTTCGGTTTTTCGGATCCGGGTTTTTTGCCCAGTCCTAGGTAAGACGCGTTTTATGCATCAACAGAAACAGTTACAGCATTGAGCTCGACATGTTGTCTACCATTTTTTTGTGGATGGACCGTTAAGGTTGCACAAGCTTCCCCTTCAGGGTTTTGATCATCCCCGGCTCGAGACACTGATATGGATCTAACGGTTGACATGAATGTGCCATTATTGTTGTTATCATCTGATGTAATGTCCCATGGCCATGATTCTTTCACGGAAGCAACCTCGAGACCGTTCTCGTGGTGTTCCTCCATTTCAAATGTGGTCCGAACTCCCCTTCAGGGTTTTGATCATCCCCGGCTCGAGACACTGATATGGATCTAACGGTTGACATGAATGTGCCATTATTGTTGTTATCATCTGATGGAATGTCCCATGATTCTTTCACGGAAGCAACCTCGAGACCGTTCTCGTGGTGTTCCTCCATTTCAAATGTGGTCCGAACTCCGAAAGATAACGTAACAGTTTATTGGGTTGTAGAATGGGTCAGGTTTCTCCTTAGTTTAGCCATTGTTTGAGCATCCCAAAGACACGGTGATGCTCACCAGGGACTCTAACTCTAGCTACTGCTTCAAGCCTATCCGCCTAGAAAGACACAACAACCAAAGGAATTGTTAGAAATATATCCCTCTCGGTTCTCAGCAATTGACGACTAAAAGTCTGAAGTTACCTCGAATATCTAATGAAAAGTAGAATTTCCAAAAAAAAAAAAAAAAAAAAAAATTAGATCTAGAAATCAATAACATCAGAAACTACTTAACAATACACACATACATCACTGTGCAGACTCATGAAACATTCCACCAACATAATAACTAATAACATTAATCTTCTTCTCTCCTGAAGCTTTTGTAAACTGATTTCAACTTCTCAGCACGTACAAGTTCATAATAATTTCATGAAGTCTATGGACCATTACAAATACCAAAACTGTTAATAAACCGATCATCAATGTTAAAGCTAACGCCTTAATAAAAATCAGAAGAGATAAAAAACGTTTTGTTTCACATGAAACGTTTTCTCAGAGCCTAAACATGCAAAAGCTAATGAATTTTCTATAAAAATAAGGAAACATTTTTTTTACGAGTTGAAGGATCGAATCGAGACCACATCTTTGTTCGAAACTCGTGGTCGGCACCGAAGATTATGACCCAGACACGCTGTTATGATCAACGGCGTTGAGAATCTACCCAGCGATACCCGGAACAAGAAGAACCGGGTCGAGATTATTGGAGTATGATTCCTAGATAACTTAGGAATTATACTACAAAGATTTAGATAAACTCTATTACGTTTTTCCTATTCTAGATAGACTTAGTTTTTAATTTCCTAGTCTTGTTTGGCTTCACTTGGTATATAAACCAAGCTTATTCATCAATAAAACTTAACTTTCCTTCATACCAAACTAGAATTTGTCATGGTATCAGAGCTGAAACAAAACTTATAAACATCCGATCATCATCAAACATCTTGTTGTTCTTGCAAAATCGCAAAAACAACACATCTTTATTCATCATCTGCGTTTTTCGAGACCTTTGAAAAACAGAGCATCCAATTCATTCAACTATGGCGATCAGTCCTGCAAAAGCCGACATCAAATACAAAACCATCACTCCATATGATCTCTCTTCGAATGATAATCAATGAGCTGTTATATCTCAACCGCTATTCAATGGATTAAATTACGATGAATGGGCAATCAACTTTCGTATGGCCCTTAGCTCACGGAAGAAGTTTGTTTTCCTCGACGGTAGTTTACCTAAACCGGAAGCTGATTCACTCTACTTAGAAGATTGGATAGCAAAAAATCATCTGATCGTAGGATGGATAAAACAAACGATTGAACCAAAAATTCGTTCTTCCATCTCTACCCGTGAAATTGCTAAAGATTTATGGGATATCATCAAGAAACGGTACTCCGTCAAAATCGGAGCACGTCTTCAGCAACTACGGAATTCTTTAGCAAACTGCAAACAAAACGGTTCTTCGATAGACGAGTATTTTGGTCGTTTAACAAAGATCTGGGATGGGATTTCTGATTGTATGAATTCCAAGCAATGTAGTTGTGGCAAGTGTGAATGCGATCTCAACACTGCCAGAGACAAAGAAGTAGAAACACCTCGAGTTCATGATTTTCTATCAGGTCTCGATGATGCTACACATGGAATCATACGATCACAGATATGTGCTATAACTCCTCTTCCAGACTTAGATAGCGTCTACTAGACGGTGTCACATAATGAGATCATACGTTCCTAACATCAACATCAGATACACCTGTGATGGGTTTTTCTTCTCAAACTCGTCCATCAAATAATTCCTCAAGACCTAATTCGACAAGGCCAATAAACAAAGATCCTTCTCGTCAATGCACAGCGTGTGGACGCACTGGACATGAAACTTCAGGGTGTTTTACAATTATTGGCTATCCTGAATGGTGGGAAGGACCTAAGAATAGACCTCCTAATCGCAATACACAACAAAGATCTACTCAACCAAAAGCCAATACAGCCACAGTCACAAATCTAGCAACATCAAAGGTCAAAGAAAACGTAACTATCACAGAAGCTGACCGCCTGGGACTCACGGGTATCACCAACGAGCAATGGAATATAGTTTAAAAACTAATCAACAAGGAGACAGCTCCAAACGAGCATCTCAAGGGTAAGAAAGATGAAAGTGTTTGGATCATGGATACTGGTGCAACACATCATATGACAGGTTGCATCGAATTCTTGACAAACACAAGAGACATCACACCTATATCAGTTTTCTTACCCTTCGGATCAGAAGCAATGGCTTCGAAGTAGGGCACTGTCCAATTAACAAACAGTTTACATATACACAATGTGTATTATGTGCCGGGATTTAATACCAATCTTATCTCCTTTGGTCAATTAGTCACAGATAATTTCCTTGTTGGACAAGTAAATGATAAACTCATGATATTGCAGGACCGTTCCTCGAGGATGCTGATTGGTGCGGGTGAAAGAGAGGGAGAGGGATTGTACCGTTTTAGAGGGATTGATACTTTGACGTCGCTACAGTCTACTATCACAGAAGATTCAGTGTTATGGCATCGTCGTTTAGGGCATCCGTCTTCTCACATTACGGGCATTGTTTCTCCTTCAGCAGATTATGATCTTATCAAAAGTTGTGATATTTGTTTTAGAGCTAAACAAACTCGTCAAAGTTTTCCAGATAGTATTCATAATCCAAAAGAGATTTTTGATTTAATCCATTGCGATCTTTGGAGTCCATATCGAACCACAACACTTTGTGGATCACGTTACTTTCTCACTATCGTTGACGATTATTCTCGAGCTATATGGTTATATTTGCTACCTGATAAGACTTTGGTGGCACAAAAAATAAAAGATTTCCTGGCTTTGGTCGAGAGACAGTATAATAAGAAGATTAAAACACTTCGAAGTGATAACGGAACGGAGTTCACGTGCCTTGCGAAATTCTTTAAAGAGCAGGGTATTATCCATGAAACCTCTTGTGTCTACACACCGCAACAGAACGGACGAGCTGAACGGAAGCATAGGCATATTCCCAATGTAGCCCGAGCCTTGAGATTTCAGGCTAATTTGCCTATCGGTTTGTGGGGGGGGGGAATGTGTATTAAAAGCAGCACACCTTATTAACCGAACTCCTTCATCACTTCTGAAGCATAAAACTCCGTTTGAGCTCTTGCACGGTCAACCTCCTACGCTATCTCACCTCCGGGTTCTTGGTTGTCTAGCGTATGCTCACAACAAAAATACTAAGGGTGACAAATTTGCACCACGAGATCGACGATGTGTTCTTATTGGATATCCATCGGGTACCAAAGGATGGAAGCTGTTTGACCTTGAACAAGAAGAAGTATTTATCTCACGTGATGTGACTTTCCAAGAAAATGTTTTTCCCTATGAAGATAAAGCTTCGACGATAACAGCAGAGCTCACTTCTCCACACATATTGGCTTCGTCAGATAGTGAAGATACAGTCACAGAAACGACTTCGATTCCTGTAGAGAAACAGATTGGAAGTATTGATTTTACGGAAACAGAGGATGAAAATATTGCAGAAACAGAGTTTGTTGAAACTGAGCAAGAACTTCTTGGTAGTGGTCACAGAGCACGAATTCCATCTACTCGACTTCTATGTGATTAACACGGTTACAACAATCCCTACTCTCACTCCCTCTCTGCCATCATCTACACCACAGCTACCCTCAGGTTCGATGTATCCTTTATCTATTTATCATATGATCGTTTCTCCTCTAAGCATTGTAGCTATCTTATTGCTTTGGCAAGAAACATTGAGCCACGCAGTTTCAAAGAAGCAATGAAACATAAAGTTTGGCGAGACTCAATGAAATCTGAGATCGATGCTCTTGAAAGAAAACATACGTGGGATCTCCAGGAGTTACCACCAGACAAAAAGGCGCTTGGAACAAAGTGGGTTCATACGATCAAACTAAGAGCAGACGGTACGATTGAAAGATACAAGTCTCGACTTGTAGTATTGGGAAACAATCAAAAAGAGGGCTTGGACTACACTGAAACGTTTTCACCAGTGGCTAAAATGATAACAGTTTGGATGTTTCTTGATCTTGCTGCAAAGCATAATCATGAGATTCATCAAATGGACGTTCACAATGCATTTCTCCATGGTGATCTCCAAGAAGAAGTGTACATTAAGGTCCCTCTCGGCTTCTTAAATCTTCATGATACGCGTGTGTGCAGGCTACGGAAATCACTCTACGGTCTTAAACAAGCACCACGTTGTTGGTTCGCAAAACTAGCAGATGCTCTTCTCCAATATGGATTCTTACAGACCCATTCCGATCATTCATTGTTCACTTATACGAAGAATGAGATATCTCTCATGATTCTGGTATATGTGGACGATCTGATAATTTCTGGAAACTCAAATTCCGGGGTAAATTCGTTTAAATCATACCTCTCAACCTGCTTCCACATGAAGGATCTAGGCATACTTAAATACTTCCTTGGATTGGAAGTAGCTCGGAGTCCTAAAGGTATCTATCTCTGTCAGAGGAAATATACACTAGAAATAATAACGGAATGTGGTTTGCTTGGGTGTAAACCGGCTGGATCTCCAATGGATCAGAATCACAAGTTAAGCTTGGCTCCGGGAGACTGTCTTTCTGATCCTGAACGCTACAGACGTTTTATTGGTCGTCTTATCTATCTCCTCGCAACTCGACCTGATCTGGCTTATTCTGTACATATATTATCAC